GCTGTATGATTTATGTTACAGTTACATCAGAAATACACATGCACACAGAAGCTGATATCGTTAAAGCCCAGATACGTTGGGAGGGGCCCTAACAGTCCTCCCATTCTGCTTTGGGTCAAAGAGCATCATCCTGGTTCACAGGTTTATATTTCCATAACATCATCATGTGTGTGGCCATTTTTTTTCGAGCATCATCTATGTGAGACTGAAGACAGAATGTTTAATCAAGGGAGGCAGGCAAGGCAGGATCAAACAATTTCCCAAATCAGACGTGTGATAACCTATGAGGGTTTTGAATCCCCCAAGAGTTGAAAACCATCCCCAAACAGTTCCCTGGGGTCTCAACCTTTCCAGGTCTGGGTTGGAACATGAGCAGTTTTCCTCATTTGATCGGTAATCTCTTCTGTGATCTTTCCCTGTCATCTATTTGTAGGCATCTATTAGGTTAAATTTCCCAGAAAGCCCTCCATTGGAGGTAAGCGGATAATCTAAGGCCAAGTGATTTTGATAGATAGCAGTGCACATTTTGGTCTATTTGGCTAACAAGTTAAGAGCTTTGGCAGTTCCATTAGTTATAATTTCTTCAACTACTTGCAGTCAAGTATATGGTTTACAGTATTAATGGGGGTGTGGTAGGCTCAGGACCCCTCCTCTGCCCAGGTGGCAGGAGCGTAATACTAAATTATGTGTTCAGGAGGCCATTTGTCATCTTTCCAATTGCTAATTTGCAGGCCTAAGACAGTGTAAATGTTTGAGATAACCCAGTGTAGGGTTGGTACACCAACACTCGTTCCCCTCCTTGGATCTGCCCCTGCGGCTCACAGTGAATGGGTCCTTGTATCTCTCGAAGCAGGATCTGCATGGTGCCTTGACAGGACTTGAGGGTTGGGCTGCTGGAGGGGTTCTCTTCATGGGTGCCCACAGGTGTGTGGAGTCAGAATGGGCAGCTCAGAGATGGCCATCACCCAGTGGGGGCCTTGGATATCGGCAGAGAAGCAGTCCCAGGGGGCTGAATGGCTGGTAGAGCCTCTACAGCAGGGGCCACAGGTGGTGGTGGCAGTGATGGATACTACAGGACATATGGAGGTGGGACTCCTGATTCCCTGGATAGAACTGGTTTGACTTGGGCTGACATCTGGGGACGACCATTACTCCAGCCATCGTCACTCTACAGTTCTCAACACAGGCTTTCAGCCAAGGTGGCCAAGACAGGACCAAATCTTGCCAACAGTCAGGTAGGCAAATTGGTCAGGATGGCCCTGCAACAACCCTGAACACTTGGCTAAGTATCTCCTTTTCAGGTTAACCTGCAGGGGGCCATCTCACCCCAGACAATGGCCAATTAATCTTACAAAAGGTCCACAGCTTTCCAGGAGTCAGCCTAATGCCACAGTTGCTTGAATATTCCTTTTTAAAGTTCTTTAACATACACTTCAGGGGAGTCGGTTTACTCTGCTTTCCACCCATTTCCTCCCAACAGACAACTTTCACACAGAAGAGAGGAAGGAGGGAAGATGAGGGGTTTTAATTGGAAGAGTTGCACATTTACTCTCAGTCTCTGGCTGCTCTCCTTGTTGAGGTATATCAGGTGCCTCTTAGCACTGGTGGATCTCCTGGGACCTAGTGTAGCTGTAAAAGGATCACCATTTGCAGTCTGGAGCTCTCTGGCAAGTTGGGAGCGGCCAATCTCCCCTGTGGATCAAATGCTCTGCTGTGCCAAGTGAGGTGGCATATCCCGGGGCTACCAGGTATGGATCTCAGCGACAAAGGAGGTAGAAACACAGTCTCCAAACCCGGCCACAAGCCCCCAGAAATGCTTCGGGATTTTCGTGTACTGAGATGTGACACTGAGGCCTTTTTCCCAGAAAGCAGCTTTATTTACGCCAGCACTGACATAGTGGATTTGTAGCCAAAGTCTGAGTGCTGAACATGGCCTAGCTGCACCCTTTTATACAATTTTATACATTTTACAGGCTCGCTGGGTATACGTTAACATTCTACAGTCTGGGTATGAATTATATTACAGTTACATCACAACTATACATGCCACAGAGACTGATACCACTACACTGTAAAAAGTTCCCTCTGGGGGGCAGGGATTTAGCTCAGTAGTGCTATGATCCCTGTACCAAAAAAAAAAAAGTTCCCTCCAGACACCTTGGGAGGGGCCCTACCACACATTTACTGACACTTATTCTCATTCTCACTTTCTATTCAGTTGTGAGATGGACACTCATAAATCACTTGCAGACCTGCAGGGACTGGCAGATCACCATGTGATCACCTCTACTTCAAGGCCTGGCCCATAAAAAAAAAAATCTCTCATGTAATTTTGCACATTGTCTTGTCTTTTTACAGGCTACCTGTCTGTGCTCAGGGTGCCCTGAGAAGCCAATGGGAAACAGCAGTGGCTTCATCTGTCTGGCACCCCAGGTGATTGCTTACAGAATTCTTCCACCTCATCATGTTGTGAACTGAACCTAATGTGCAAGAAAAATACACTTCAGTAGCGTTAAGCCACTCAGTATTTCAAGTATTAACAGTTATACTACTATTAGCTTGACTAACAATGAAACGTAGGGAAAATATATTAACCTTAAGACACAAAAGTTCCTATCAGAAAAGATGAAGATAGACAAGGACAAAAATAAGAATTTCTGTAAATTAAAAACACAATAAATTAGAGTGCTTGCCTAGCATGTATAATGTTTTGGGTATACTCTCCAGCACTGACAAAACAAAACAAATTCCTTTAAAGATAATAAATAAAAACAAGTATCACCTTGAAAAAGTATATTTATAATATACACAAATTTTATTATTCAGAATGTTTATTATTCTGATATATTCAGAATATATCAGTCTATTATTCTGATATATTCAAAATGTATCAGTTTATTCAGAATATATAAGGTGTTCCTAGAAATTAATATGAAAAAGTCAAATAAAACCAAATTGAAAAATGGACAAAATATAAACAGGCATTTTACACTACAGGAAATTAGAATTTCAAAAACTGCATACCACTCTAGTAATCAGAGAAATGTATATTAAGAGTACCTTGCCGGGCGTGGTGGTGCACACCTGTAATCCCAGCACTTGGAAGGCTGAGGCAGGAGAATCGCTGTGAGTTCGAGACCAGCCTAGGCTACAAAGTGAGTTCCAGGTCAGTCTCAACTAAATACTCAAAAAAAAAAAAAAAAAAAAAAAAAAAAAAAAAAAAAAAAAGAGCACCTTTAGATATCAAGTTTGAGTTGATGTGGCTCTATTTGCATACAATTTGGAAATGTATTGTAAAGTTGAATGTTTGTAACTATTGTCATGCAACAATTCCACCTTGGACATACAAGTACATATTCTGAGTTGCTATAGTTAGCAAGCAAAATTACAGTATGCTACTATGGTTTATATCCACAATGCCCAGATATTGTTATCCCCTTTATATCTAAAGACCCAGGTATTGAAAGCCTGGTCCCCAGACCATGGTGCTGTTGGGAGGTAGGGGGATCTTCAGAAGGTGGAGCTTAAAAGAAGAAATTAACTGGGAACGTGCACTGAAGCAGACACTGACATCCTTTCCACTTCTTGTTTCCTTTTGCTTTCTGGCTGCCATGAGGTAAATGGCTCTCTACCATATTGCCACCATGAGGTTCTGCCTTGCCACAGGCCCAAAATCAAGAGCCAACTGACCATGAACTAAAAAATCCTTTCAGTTTTTAAGTTGATTGTCTTGGGTATTTTGTCACAACGAAGTAAAGCTAATACACATGCCCAGACTGAAATTAAGGTAAACAAGGAATACTTTAGTTTCCATGAAATTCAAATTTAATTGGGTCTCCTCTACTTTATCCCTACAAAGAAGAGGTGACATACCCAAGTGTTTATAGTGCACTGTTTAAAAAACCAAAACATGGATTCCACCTAGAAACATTAAGTTTAACAAGCAGTTAAAAAGTATATATTAATTGCAATACCATTTTCATAAAACTCAATCAACTACAACTAAAATTTGTCTAAATGTACAGATGTGATGAATGTGTACAGGAGAGTAAGAAACAAAATTCAAGATGAGTGCCCTACCAAGGTAAGGCAAAGTTAGGGGTATGGTTTAGATTAATATGAGGGGTTGACAATATTCTGATTCCTAAACAGGAAGACACATAGTTATATTGCTAAGCTTCTAATCTCACACACCACCTACATTTTTTGTTTACATAGAATATAAAAGTATAAATACTATAACTATAAAAGAACAATGATCAGGAAGGTGAACTGAGTTGATCCATCCGCAGATAGCCCAATCCTTTTCGAGTATATCAGGGTACATCTAAAGCATAGCACTGTTAACAGCATGCCGCGCAATCAGAAAAAGTCTAAAGTGCTACCCAGCTAGCTTCCGGGAGAAGGTAAGAGGCAGAGTCAGTTTACCCAAATAAGACATATCGAGTAGGCAATCTCTTAAGTATTGAGCTTGCTCGTAGCACAGGAGGAGTGTGAAGGATGGCGCTTCACAATAGGGTATGAAATACAGCTCCTTTTCTCCAGAAGGGGTCTCAAGACTACTTGGGGGTACAACGAGACACCCATATAGTAAGCTGTGTATTAAGGGGGCATGGACTGTAAGGTTCTTGGCGAACAGAGGGAGAATAAGTTGAATCCATTTCCCCCTAAGTGCCCCGAGGTCTTTCCACGTGGGGGTATGTTAGGGGTCGTAGACTTCCCCCACTCTAGGGTCCCTTTTAAGAAGTGGTAGTAATAATAAAGCCAATATACTTGCGCTAGCGGAAAATGAAGAGCTGAAAGCCTACTGGGACTCAGAGTAATCTTGATAAACCTCTTCACCGCAATAAAAAGGCCCAATTTCCGTACCCTAAAGCCACCGCAGCTAGGAAAAAGCCTCCGCTCTCTGGCGCATGCGTAGTAAGCACCAGGAAGTCTAGCACGGGCCCGGATGTAGGCGGAACTAAAAGTGCCCGGCAATAGGCCACAGCGCGCTTGCGTCAGGTCTCAGGGGCGGGGCGTCCCGATTCGGTTCCCCGGGCTACGGCGGCCTGCTGTTGGGCGAGTTTTGGTTGTGGACCGCGCAGCCATGGAGACTTCTTCCGGCTTGAAGGCTGATTGCGAGAAGCTGCTTGGCCGCTTTCAGGAGATGGACAGTGTACGCTTCGAGGACTTCACGGATCTCTGGAGGAAGATGAAGTTTGGAACCATCTTCTGGTGAGTGACGTCTGTTCGCGGCGGGGTAGCAAGTTGTTTCCTTCAGTCATTGCCGCGGCTCGGGCAGAGGCCTGGCCAGGGGCGCCCTCCGCCCTGTTCCTGGCGGTTTCGCTAGGCCTCAGTTACTCCTCTCAAGTGGAAATCTCCGACCGCCCCAGCCGCTGCCTTGTTCTCCTAGTATCCCGTGTTTAAAATCAAACCAGTGCCCGAGCAAGGACAAAATCCTGCACGATTGCATTCATTTTCTGTGCAACAACCAACGTTGTCTTTCTAAAGTTCAAATTTGATGTCACTTCCCTTCCCATCTCCCTTCGGTGGTTCCCGTTGCATGTGGGATAAAACCCAAATTCTCTGCTTGTGTTCCAGCCTCCTGGCGCGGTCCCTTCCGTGCACTCGCTTTCTTGCCCCAGCGGTTCCCTGTCGCCCTCCGCAGGCGTTTCCTAAGCCCAGAGGCTCTTTTCTGCTCCCTCAGTCCACTTTATTCTTCACCCACCCGTATGCCCAAATAGCACTTCCTCGCAGAAAGTTTTGCCTTCCTAGACATGCTCCGTTTTTTCCCCATAGCACCCCATGCTTGTCTCACCACTGACTACCTTTAACTGTGTAGTCGAAGAAAGGAATGCAGGGTGATTAATGGTTAAGGGCGCAGATGATGGAATCCAGCTGTCTGAATTTGAATAAAGGATTTGGGACTAGGATTTGGGACAAGTTCGGAGCTTGAGCTTTCTTATCTATAAAATACTGTGAAGATGATGATAATACCTAGCTATACTGAGCGTTAAGTGAGCTAGTATATATCTTAAGTGTGTTTCTAGTACCCGATATATTTTTGTGTATATTATTACTTTTAAATTTTTCTTCCACCAGACTGAGCTTGAGAACCACGTTTGACAATTTATAATATTGAAAAGTCTAAATAATTGATTGAATGAGACTTTAGGATTAAAACTTTTTTGCTGAATAAAATGTAAAAGTTTTCTTTTTTTCTTCTTAATGTAAACTAGTTATGTAGTTTGTAAATTATAGATAGGAGCTGAGGGATGAGGAGCTATTTATTGCACAGCTAGTGAAAGGAGAAGCAGTTTTTTAAATAGCTACCAAATGTAATGCCCTTATAACTTAATTTATTTAATCCATAGAACAACTATGAAAAATGGGTATAATTATCCTTGTTGTGTACGTGAAGAAACTGAAGCTTAGGAGGGTTAATTTTTCCCAGATTGCAATTAGAAGGAGGGTGGTAGAGCACATGTTGGAACTGTATGTCTTCCTGTTTCTGAAATCCATGATCTTTATTTAGGCCGTACTCCTTGGGGAAAAACAAAAAGGACACATCAGAGAAAATTTTTCAAGGGGTACCCTAATTTTTACCTAATCAGGAAATAATTTCAAAGGAGGCAGCATGTTCCCATTCTTCCTTGCGATCAGATATAATAAAGCTTACTGGCTGCAGAGGTGTTATTAAAAGAAAATTTCAGCATATTTATATTTGTGAAGTTGTATCAATTACTTACACCTATTTAATACACTTTGAGACATTTATTTTAGCTGAGAGTATAGTAGAAAGATTTATCTCCTCATTTCAGGTGTCGTAGAAAATGATTTGAAACGTGCTCACATTGGGTCTGAAGTTATATAAAGGATGTCATATTGACTTTATGATATCGATGCTTTTTAAAAAGTTTTTGTTAAGTTGGCAGATTTGGGTAGTTTATTAGTAACAGTTTCAAGTTTCTTCTGTACCCTCCAATCAGTTGGCAAGTATGGTTGGTGCTTTTGAGAGCCATTGGTCGTTTTTACCTACGCTTAGTGGCAGTGTCAGAAGCACAGCTCAGAGTAGTTCTTTGTGCTTGAATCCAGGAAGGGTCATGGAGGAAATCGTCATACCGTTATTGGCAATTGCATTTACTGATGAGTGATCGATTGGTACCCGAGATTGAACTCAGGACCTTGTGTTTGTGAGGCAAGCACAGTGCTACTGAGCTAAATCCCCAGCCCTGGCAATTGCTTTTAAGTGACTACATACCTGTTCTGTCTCTTTTCATCATTTATTTACTTAATGAATCAATATTTGTTGTTTGTTTTACAGTGGCAAAATGAGAAATTTAGAGAAGAACACATTTACAAAAGAGGCTTTAGCTTTGGCTTGGAGATATTTTTTACCTCCATATACTTTCCAGATCAGAGTTGGTGCTTTGTATCTGCTGTATGGGTTATATAATACCCAACTGTGTCAACCAAAACAAAAGGTAATGTTGGTGAGTTGTTTTCCTCCAGTAGAAGTGTGAAACAGGTACCTTATTCATTCTACAATATGCTGACTTAAAAAGAAATAGTGTGTTTTAAAATTGTAATATATCTACAAATAGAGACATTTTGTACATTTTTTTTACTCTGTTGTTGCAGATCAGAGTTGCTTTGAAGGATTGGGATGAAATTTTAAAATTTCAGCAAGATTTGATAAATGCGCAACATTTTGATGCAGCTTATATTTTTAGGAAGCTACGACTAGACAGAGCATTTCATTTCACAGCAATGCCTAAATTGGTATGTTTCCTTAAGTAATTTTGTTTTTCAAAATGAACAGATATACTTTCTTTTCCAGAAATCACCTCAATCTCCAGGAAAATGGAAAGACTTTTAGTAGTGTTCAAGACTTATAGCCTTCTTAAAATAGAAGAAAATGTTTTTTGATTATTTTTTTTCTTGCAAACAAAGTTCAAACTCCTATTAAATGCCATACGTTTCTGGAGGCCATGTATAAGCAAATGTTGGGGAGAGGAAATGAGATTTAGCAACCTCACATGCTTGTATCTTTTTTAATTTGAAAGTCTGAGGAGTTAACTCAAAGAGGACCAAGGAATTTTAGTATGCCAGTTGGTGAAAAGGTGGAACTTTTATTAAAATCTGTTATTTCTTTAATGTTGTGACTGTTAAGATACTAGATAGAAGAGGTTCTGATTCAGCCATTACCTGGTAGAATTGTTAACTCAGTACTCATTTGAATTTATAAGAAGGTGGCTTGTGATCTAATGGGACAGTCCAAGTCTGTAGGCTTTGGAAGATGAATGCTTTTGTTTTATTCATATATATTGTTAATTTGTACTGCTGACTTGTTAAATATTTTCTAAATATCTTTTAATAGATACGCATTTTAAAAGACATTTGCCATTTCATAGCTTTCATATAGAATGAAGAAAAAAATTCAGCGAACTGAAGTTACAGAAGAATTTAAGGACCCAAGTGATCGTGTAATGAAACTTATCACTTCTGATGTATTAGAGGTAAATTTGCATTTATGCCCTTGAATATAAAAAAAAATTTATTGTCAATTGTATATTGAGGTTATAACTCACTCTACTGGAATGGACACCTTTTTTTTTCAGGCAGTTTAACAAATCAGAGTGCTCTGCTTTCCCTAAAGCATCAGAAATTAAACACCTTAAATATATCCGGATGATATAACTTGACGCACAGTGAGAATTAGATGCGGAAAACTTAAACTGAGCACTTGTGGGTTTATGTACTACTTCATGTTCTAACCCTACCGTGTGTGTTTGACTTTGCAGGGGTTGTAGAACAAGAGTTTAGAGTGACTCTATTAATCTGTTCATAGTAGGTATTTACTTCCTAAGTTCCCTTTTTTATAGCACTTATTTCTACGTTTGCTTTTACACATTTAATCAGATAGTGATTGGAGATGGACAGTATTGAAAAATCTTTTTGGGGGGCATGGATAAGTAGTAGTACTCACAGAACTTCTACAAGCTCAGAAAAACATTGCCCCGGGGTTTTGACACAGTCTGAATGCTAGGTGACATATATAGCCTTCTAATCAGTGGCATTTCAAAAGAATATAGATGGGAAAGTGGTGGGGACATCTTGGTCACGTTTATTTCATCTCTTGGAACCTTAGTTTCCTTCTCATTAATACTAGGATCACAATTTTTTTTTTTTTCCTGAGGCAGGATCTTAACTGTCTTTCCCTAGCTGAACTTGAGGGATCATCCTGCTTCAGCCTCCTGAGATTGGAAATACCCTCACCTTACCTGGCCATGACTGCAATCTGTATTCTGTCCAGTTGTGAGAATTTAGATGAGATGAAGCTGAATAGTGCTGAGTGTGGCATGTAGCACACGGTGGACTTGTAATAAGTGTTGCTGCTTCTGTTTTTCCCAACTGTGATCACACTTGCTAAATCTGCAGTGAAAGAGGAATCAGACTTTTGATTTAAGTGTTCAGATACTCCAGAGCATCTGCCTGCCTTATTGCCACTGTGTTTGTAATGCAGGGAGCAAATTTAGTTTTGAGGATAAATTTTAACCTGGGAACCATGAGTGGCTTTCTGATGTCTCACCCCTGTTCACCAAAATGTACGAAAAATTGATGTTGTGTGTTTCTATACTTAGGGTAAGGTCTAAGTCTGTATGCTTAGCTTCTCAAAGTTATTCATGCCTCTAAAAAGGTTAAGAATAGAAGGAAATGACATGTTTACCGTAAATGTCTGAAGATATAGTATAATGCAGGAACTATGCAGGGTGCTTTGTGTAGACCATTTTCTTCTGCCATGTTCCTGCAAGAAAGATGTTTTAATGGTTTTTAATTATTTTTATAGTAGACATTCTTATCCTTGCATTAAAGTTGAGTTACATAAGAAAGTAAATAAAGCTAACTGAGATACAGAGACAACAGAAGTAGTGGAGTTAAGTTCATGCATGTTTCTGAATGGCTGTAGTGCCTGTGTGTTGGACCTGAGCTGGGACTAGGGTCATACATTTATCATTCAGCAGACACCTGAGCATCTGAAGTATAATCAAAAGCAGATTTATCTTTTCTAATAGCTTAGTGAGAAAGAAGTGCGTTAAAATACATGTTGTAGAAGTACTTTATGTAAGACCCTAGCCCAGAAACCCTCCTCCTGGGGAAGAGCAGTATGGGTCCCCATCCCACCAAGTTTGAGCCCTGCCTTTAAGAAGGAGGGATAAGGAGCAAAGCACCCCCTTCCATTCTAATTGTGATGGCTCCAGCCCTCTGTGACTTCGGCTCAGGTTGGGCAGGAGTAGGGGTAAAGAATCCTTGAGGACCAAGCGCAGTGGTCTGGGAAGAGGGAGGTAGAAAGGGATGGGTCTGACTTGAGGAATGTTCTCCTCCTGACCCAACCCCTAGGGACCCAACCTAGAGAAGTGACCAGGTCCCAGAGATGGGAGGGTCTGCTCTTTGAATCACATCAACATGGACCAGGGGATCTTGCTCAGTGGTTCCGCCGCCTGCCTCGCAA